ATTATCATATCCATCTAAAGAATTAAGATGGATTATAAAAAAACATAAAAGGATCATTAATCACTCGATAGAGTTGGAGGGTATATGACAACCGTAATGGCACTACGGCTATATATCTTAGGAAAAGAAGAATCATAAGAGAAGTGTATGCCTATTTGGTACCGCACTTAAAGAATGCGACTGCGTAACAATTCTGTAAGTACGAGTTTAACGTTCTCAGATGATACATGTCTGTTACCATGACAATGTATAAACAAAAAGATAATGATATCGAGGGCAACACTTTGCTGTAAAAAAGAGTCAACAGGTGGTTTTATAGTGCATTGATCATGTACTTTCAAAAATCCTTTTTGCTTTATGCTGGTGAATGCTTTTTAAAATTTATTTTTAAATGTTTATGCTTTTCACTTCTGTATACCGTTGCATTCATAGAATGATTTAATACAAAATTACATAAATATAAACTAAGCAAAATTATTTATATAAAATTTAGATTATATTTTACACACAATCATTTAAAAAAAAAAAGAATTTTTACATGTAATCTTGTCTTGTATTAAAGGGCGGTGGTCGTCGCGTAGCGCGTGTTCGAATTACATGTAAATAAACAATGTATTTTACACGTGTTGTATACGTCGCTATGAGTCCCATATCGAACAGGACGTGGCGTGATGACCACCGCCTTTTAAAATGCATGGACTCATATTCTGCTCGCAGGAGAACAAAAAGTAAATCAGAATACTCAAGTCTTGTTAACTTTTTAAACAGTTAAAGCCATATTTCTTTTCACTTGAGACACTTGGCCATTTGAAAATAAATCTGGTCATGATGCATGCTTGCACATGACGAGAAAACAATTGGCAGAGGAGAACTTACACACGATTGAAAGCTTGAATCTATGAGAGAAATCGATTTGTGTGAAAATATAGCTGGCAGCGTTTGTTATATATCAGATCCAGAGTAGTTATTTATAATAATTTAAAACCAAATCTGTACAATCTACTGGTTGTTGTTATTTGAAATTTCACAAAAAAAAGTAATGTCATTATAGTATTATTGAAAGACAAATCACTATTAAGCCTCAGGCTTATTAAAAGCACATAGAATAAAAATAGAAATAAAAGAACTATGTGAAATATGTTTAACCCTCTGAATGCTCTCATTGTTTTCCATCCCATTTTGTGCATTATTATATGTTTTTCTATCATTTTTTTTTTTTATTTCGGACCAAATAGACATTATTTTTCAATGATTACTGATTTTGAACAAAATTTTCAAAATATTTATTCCGTGAAAAGTGACAAAATTAGACTTTGGTGTTTGAAAAAATAAGAATGTTTGTCCGGAAATGAACATTTTGAAAAGTTCTGTTCAGTCGAGATTTATTTTGCAGATAAGAAGTATATATAATTGATTTATGATACATTAAATGTTATATTGATTTTATAATTTTTTTGTTTCTTTGATTAAAAAGAACAGAAAAAATTTGCTCTTGTAGCTTGATTGTTGTTACATGCCCCAATGAGACTCTTTCATATAAAACTCAACAATTGCGGTTTATCGCGGTTTATCACGTACATTTCACACTGTTTGAGAACAAACCTAGCAGTTCAATCAGCAAATCAGTTTATTATTAGGTATATTATCTGGCCTATCGTTGTCATGGTGATTCATTAGCGACAAATTATATTAAGGGTCACCAGCTGCTATATATGTCTATCATAAGAAAGTTTTGTTTAGGAATTCAAGGCGATGAAATGTCAATCAAATTTCCTATTTTGTAAACTACATGGATGCAGAAGATGCATTTATGCAAATTTAATGCATAGCAACCATCATGTATTAAAGCAGTTGATCAAAAGGAAGTAAAATCGCTGAGTCAGTGCAGTAAAAAAACAAGATGGTGAGTATAATTATGTACATGTGTACATTTCAATTTAGAGTTCATAAATTATTATTATTATCATAAATCCATACAGAGCAGGAAATTACAACCTAATATTATTAAAATCCTAAATCCAATTTGAAATCTGAAATTGAATATTTCAGAGGGAAAAAAAGATTTCCGCAATATTAAAATTGAACTTCTTTTCTTGGATAACTCGTCATGACATTTTCTTTGTCCGCGTAACTAAATAGCGTACATAATCAAACAAAACAAATATTTCGTTTAAGAAAATGTTAATTACATATAGAATACATTTCCAGTCAGATTAGGTCTTTTTTTTTCACAAAAGCCGAGTTCGATAATAACAAGTTAGTAGAAAGAGTTCTGCCATCAAATAACATTACTACATAAAGAACCTGATGATTAGGTGGCGGATGTAAATGTACCACTATTAAAATTCTTCTTTGAAACCTATATTTTTTGTCGCCAAAAATGGCAATAACGTTTTACACATTTTTATGTACCGATATTTTTCAATGATTTCGAGTCAAAAGTCGATAAATGCTTATTGGGTATGAAAATTGATCAGAATTAATGAAAGAAAATGGAAATACCGGTACCATAATTACCGGTATGTGATTTATTTTGAGAGTAACACATTTTTATCTCCAAGATTTATGTTCTACCTTGCTATGCATTATGAAAAATGTAAGAAAAAGTATGTGTTTCATACTTAAGGAATAACACTAAACTTGAAAAAAAAAAAATCTGCAAGTAAAAAGTTTTTGGATGGTAATCGATATACATGTAATTAAATGCATGATTCTGAACTAGTAAACCGCCACAAAAAAATTACCATCCAAGTCAAACACTTGCAGAATCTTATGTACTGGTATACCAATCTCACATTAATCCTTTGATGTGTAAGTGCTCTACAAATAGACTTAATATGGTATTTTCTCACATGCTTTCACTTTAATGCAAATTCGATATATGGTTTAGAAAAGAAACATCCCTATTTTGCATTTCAGTGAAGCGTGTATTGACCGATATCACTTGTACGGACCATTGCCCCTGCAAAGAATACTTGTCCAAGATTGACTGCGCTCACAAAAGTGGATGATGGATTTTGTTAAAAGGTGTTGTATGTGGTTGTTTTGTTGAGTAAATTTTAATGAATATCACCTAGGGGGTATGTAATAAAAATGTAACAGCACGAATCTTTGGGCGATGTTAAACATCCATATTCGGCAGTTCGGTATATGGTATTTTATTCGTCAATGACAGATACGATGGGATTGCCACATTTTTTTTTGGATATATACCAGTACTAGTACACAACCTAGAAATGCGGTTACGTGACCGTAACACTTTGATCATCTCATTTTATGAATGGGTAAAAATACTATAACTTTTTGTTTTCATTGTCACATGTATAATAATATATCATTACACATATTTTGGGGCATTACATTTGTCTTTAAAAAAATAAAATACTTGAAGTACATTGACCATTGACACAGGGAAATACCCACGATCACACATTCTTCAGTATTTTCACATCAAAGCCATTTTCCTTTCAAAATAGGCATTTTCAAATCAAAGTAGCTGTCTGTAATGAGATACTACTATCATTTTATCTAGACATTTGAAGTGATGAACAGCAAATCTGCGTAGATTCTAGACTACGTACTGTATATGTATCTGGGCCGGCACTTTCTAAAAAATACCACTCTATTGTGCTTGACATTCTTCTTAGCAAACTTTAGAAACTCAAGATTATATTTATATATATTTTAGATACTACTGAATCAAGATCACTCGTTACAAGTTTTAACGATTTCTTTCCAATATTCTAAAGTTTCTTGAAAATTTGTGCAATTGAAAATTTTTTATCAGTTTTGGCTAATAACACAATACAAAGAAATGTCGTCAAATGAACCACTCTGAAAGAGACTCGCACAATATCAAAAAGATGGTAGATATGAAAACCAGTCTGACTTAAAAAACAGCTTTCATAAAAAATTTAAAAAAAATATATATAACCTCCTTAAAAAAAAGGGAACCAGATAAAAAAACTGCTCATATTTAATAATGAATATAATTTGTTCAAGAGGTGAATTAATCACACTTTATTAGATACACTGCTCAACAAAGGTCTTATTGTAACTGGGAAAATTCTTCTTTAGCAAATTGGTCAAGGTAAAAATTATTATTATACATCTGTCGCCATAAGTTATAGCGTGCCATAATTTTGCGTTCTTTTACGGGGTATTTTCATCCTACCATATAAGGAAATGCAAATTCCAAATATGGAATGATTACGCATGTAAGAGTCCTCTAATAATAAAAACAAACATTGCTGCCACCAGGGTTTGATCGGACTCCACACAAACAATTTTGCTAATTCTTATTTTCTACTAAACTCTTTAGATTTCGACATTCCCATGATGTATCCTTGGAAGGAAAAGATGCATTAAAATAAGGATACCCCGGTACCTCAAAGTATGCACTCAGATAGTACGCGGAGCATTGACCTCCACTGCGCGTCAGCCGATACTCCCTCTGTACTGACTCGGTTGAAGTCTTAGCACACACCTTAGAAAAAAAGTATTATTCTTTTCTATCAAGCAACCTGAATCATCAACAACAACTGTGTCAACAACATTTCAGAGATAAGGCTGTTCCTATTTTTTTTAAGAGACACTAAGATAAAATTATAATATATGAGCTATCGACACAAGATTAGTGTATTTGTTATAAAGACATAGGGCTCGGGGGGGGAGGGAACAAACAACGGCACATTACGTTAATTTGATCATCAACAAGGCTGTTTGGTTTAGCGATTATTGACATGAAACTTGACAAGGACACATCAATTTTATGGCAAGATATAAATGGTTCTCAAACAGTACACAACATAGATACAAAATTACCTTATAGGGACACTTCCAGTTAAGCCTAATCTCACAACAAATTTACTTTCTGGATTAAAATTACAATGGATAACAAAAGATAGATTAACTTTGTAAATAACATGAACAATAGTGTCCCATGATTCTTTGGTGCAATCCCTGGGACTGGAAGGTCCCCCTTTAATTACCAGGTCGGATTAAGGCTGGCACAAGCTACCACTGTCAAGACTTTCCAGTCTGTGCCCCTGTATATCATAAGAAATACAGCATAGCAAACAGGAATGGCACCTATATACGCGAGGGACTGGACTGAAAATTGAGTTTAGATTATCACAGGCAGTACGGGGATAGCATCTACTCTGCTACATGTCGGTTGATACGATCACCGTTTGCAGTCTTTGCATTATTATCGCGATGACCTCATAGATAATTCGGTAACAGATTTTGTTTTATGGAATATACCATTTTGTCTCTCATAGTCGGAGACACAATGAAATGCCCTGAAGTACGTGAACGGTTGTCGCTGTGTTTCCAATCATAGAAATGATTGAGTTGTTAGAATCCAACCTTGCCCTCTCTATATAACATGAATTTCACGAAAGTAACTGTGACTCGATCTCATCTGGGGCGAACTCAGGTGAAATTTCCATTACCTGATACAAAATTTGGTGTTTTTCACTAACTTTTGGAATCGTAATTACAGGAGTTTTCAATACTCCCTGAAACAACTACGCTAATTACACCATTTTCCATTCACCGCCAGATCCCTTTTTAAACATGAAATTGAACAGAACAAACAAAAGATCATAGCATCAAAACATTGTGGTAGATTCAACAAATGCGAAAGTACTTTTGGCTTGATAATTTTAATGCTAAATTAGCGCTAAACACATTTGATAATGGTCAATTTTAATAAAGTAAGGGTACCTCAATGGTGCATCATTTCTGAAAGATTGGCATTTTGACATATAAAAAAAGAAATTCAAAAGACTTTCGGTATGTAAGACTTTACAAGATCTAGCAGTGAACAGAAAATACCGATCACTGCTAGCGTAGTGATTGTCGCATCAGACTCATGATCGGTAGACCCAAGTTCAAATCCTATCTCAGGCTGAACATCAAAAGGGTCGACCCCTACCCTGGGTGAGTGTGCCACAGACCCAATGGGAAGGCCAATTCCACTGGACGAGATTCATTCACGAATGCGAAGTTGACTGGACTCATAACCTTGGTTGGCAGCTTGTCTGCCTCTTCAGGTTTGGTTTGCGGCAGGAAGGGCATCCGGTAGTAAGACCCCATGCCAAACACAATATGATGCGAAGATATTATCCGCACCGGCGACCCCAGCAACTGGGAATAAAGCCGTAGAAAAAGAAGAATAAGAATAAGCAGTGGACAGAAAATTATACATTAAACCAAAACAATTTTTTTTAAATACAACTAGTCATTAAAATATTTTACCTGCAATAAGAAAAATGCATTATATAATGAGTTTTAAAGAACTACGATATCCTGAGATTTTTGTCAACAAGGAAATGCTTACATTCTTTTTTAATTATCACCTGATATTATGTACTGGTAGTTAATCATATTATAAACAATAACATAAATACAAATGTCTTTTTTCATAGCCTGAGAAAGTAAATAACACCTGTTGTCAGTGCAGTTTAGGGGTCATTCGCATTTTAAACCTACACAATTTTTTCTATATTTTTTCAAAAATGTGACAATTTGGTCCCAAATTAATAAAGAAATGATAGTAAAATGAAAAAAATAGTACTAAATGTTGCATCAAATATTTGGGAAGGAATATTCTGATCTGTAGATGCCGCATTAAAAGTTTTGCGAAAATATATGCTTTTTTTTATTGATGAACCGCGACAGTACCGGTATATATTCACTGAAACACCCACCATCTAATTCCAGAAAATCTGTTAATGTTCAGAAAGATTATTTATTATATTATTTATGGGACTACATGTATCCTACGTAATAACTTTAAATACATTCTACATTTTAGACATTTTGTTTATATTGGATGCATTATAGTGCTAAAACATGTGATAGAAATGGAATCCCATGACTGGATGCAAATGTCCGAACAGTGTAAAGCACTTTTAGTTGACATTTTGACTGTGTCTCTTATTAAATTATTACTTGAAACGGAGAAAATATTTATAATAATACTGTTATCACGTGAATATCGCAAAGTATGTACTCGGGCAGTATGTGAAAGTACACGCATTAATTTTTTTTCAATGTTGGTGAAGTCTGCTATTCAAATAGAATACCGGGGGTTAATACAACACAAAGTCCAGCAAACAATAAAAAAAAAGCTAATTTTAATATTTCATGAAATCATTTAAGGAAACAATATTCTTTTTATATTTATTAAAATTTTTTTTTAAATAATTGTGTCATATAATTTTTTTTTCAATATTCTGAAAAAAAGCTGTGACCTGCATATTTGTAATCGATGACCTTATTTCTGGGCTTAAATTTGAATGCCAGAATAGAGAAAAAAAATATAGTCATTTATAATTGCTTGGTTTATCCATTGAGGATCGAATCATCTATTTGGCCATTCACTGGACATTTAGAATATTCAAGAAATACCCTGAAGATCCCTACATAAAATTTTCAAATAATTTCTTGTAGATGTAATATTACTCAGATATTTAGCAGGTACTCCACTTTAACAAGAGTCGTCAGGCTGAACGAATTAAGAATAGAACTTTTTTTGATTATTATACGCAGTGGAGCGATAAAGCCTAAAAATCAACTGAACCAAATGTATTGAATTAATTTTAGACACATTGCTGAAACAACTTGTTGTTTGTCCACAGATGAGACGATAACTAAAAAGGGTCACGGCACTAATTATGCATTTGTACCTTTTTTAATTAGCTCTCACCCTGATAATCAATTTTATGCTAAGGTTTTAGAATATGCCATTACATGGTAGGGGTGAGATGGTTAAGAATGTGGACAAGCAGCCTCTCGGCTGAGATAGCTCCACTGTTAGCAGCAATGCACATTTCAATTAAAGAACTGAAAACATCATTGGAAAATGAACAAATCTGAGAGAGGTCTATCTGAGGTATCTACCTATATGTATAGTATCACAGCAATCAGATTTGCGGTTTTTAACAAGAAGTCGAAAATATCACTTTTTACCAAAAATTACAAAAATATTCACCAAGATTAAAGAATTAAAAATATCATCATGAAATCAACAAATCTAAGAGAGGTCTGCCCAAGGTACATATACACCAAGTATCAAAGCAATCAGGCTTGTAGTTTTCAAGAAGAAGTCGAAAAAGTAAAAAAGTTGTTGACACGACGACGACAGTCAATCACTCATATGATAGACTTCGCTCGACAAAGTCGACAGCGGAGCTAAAAACCTTTTTGTGGTGCAGACTTGTATCAAAATAAAATTTGTTTAACCAATTTAATACCAAGTCCACTTTTGTCACATTTTACAAAATAAATATAATTTTTTTCCATAAGTCTTCAACAATTTTTGATCAGGTCCTATCTGCAATGGGTGTTAAATTATTTCCATTTGGCCTAAAATCAACAGAAATTGTTGAAAGACACATGAAAATTGATAACATGTTGTACTGAAATCTTAGCGAAAAAAAAATTTGGTGCAAAGGAAGAAATGCCTGATATTACATGCATAGATTTTTTCTCAGTAATGACTGTCATGTCAGCCATCAATTGGAAATGAAATAATTGGCTGTCGATTTTATTTCTTTACTTTTATCCCTGAATCAACAGTGAATACAAATACATGATTTCTGAAAATGGAGAACGCTGATTATAAGTGTATTCATATGTGTGTGTTGTGAAGGGACAAAGGAGAGACAATAAAATACTTGGATTTTGTCCAAATTCCGGTAGGCTCAGCCAACATAATGATATTATAAAAGTTGATCCTTACATAGCCGGGATTAAAATCATTGATGTTTTCAGAATGAGTATGTAACACATATTTAATGGTTGGGAATATGTATGAATTACGAGGATGTTGTTTTCTCAATGAGTCTGAATGTTGGCGATTATTTTATTATTTGACCGATTTTTTCATTTACAGTAACTTAGGGTGTTAATGTGTCAAATATTAGATAAATGCACATAATTAATTAGATTGCATACAATGATTTTATGAGTTAAATTACAATAAACATAAAAAACAAAAGCATAACAATAATTAGAATTATATTATTATTATTATTTTATTATTATTACGTATGAGTGCCACATGTTTTTTCATAATATGTTGAACAAATCTAACGTGTCTTCAGCTCGTCCAAGAGGAAGAGTAAGAATAGCAAAACACACAAAGAAGCCATTAAAAAAAAACGTGGAACAAATATAGATTTTTTAAAACCCTGCCCCCCCCCCTCCTCTCTCTGCAGAAAACTCATCAATCAATGACCCTCAAGTTGGAAAAAATTGAAATACGTATAGTAATACGCAACACAATAGAAGCTCATTCGTAACTATAGTCTGAAGAAAATCAATCAGAATTCTAGTTGCACATACGAAGTATACCTATCCACTGATGTCAGCTGACATTAGCACTACAAACCAGGATGTCAGCGTCAAAAGCTATTGCAAGTCTGAATTATATCCTTGAAAGCTGTTGTTAAAACTAACATTTACTTTTTTTTTTAATCTCTGGGTCTTGAACCTTTTTGTCACTGTATACATAGGTGCAATAAAGACAGCCTTGAAAGGGAGGGTACAGTAATGGAAGGCCATAGATCCCTTCTCTCGGGTCTGGAGAACGAGGTGCATGTGAAGGTTATATTAAAGAGGATTATTATTTCCAACAGGAAGTGACTAAAAGGTTGTTTTATTTTCACATTTGAAAAAAAAAAAAAAATTATTATTGCCACTGATACAGAGAAAATGCATAAATTGCTTTTAAAAATATTGATTAATCTGTAATTTATACAATTTTTTTTTCTTTCAAAAAACGAACAAATTATATATTTTTCCGCCTATTGAATAGATTACGATTTAGTCTTTAAAGTGGTAGCAGGGGGGAAATCACATCGATCTGTGATTTAGACGATCTCTAAAAGTTACTACAATAAAATCTGTATTAGAATCCGCATACTTAATTAGAAGCTGCACACATTCTTTTTGAATAATTGAGAACCAAAAATTCATCATTTCTCATAAATGTAGATGCTCTAATAGAATCTGTTGCATTCTAGCATTTTACTAAAAGCCGCAGCTTTTAATACAGATTTTACGGTATTAAAGCATACTGTTAAACAACCTAAAATCATCTGAAAGCTTATACATAGATGAATATGATAGTATGTATGTTGTACCAATGTTTACCTGATGGCCAACTTCGCTTATTGTATTTTTCTGACTATTCCGACTCCTGAAAATACCTTTTTTTAAACACTTTCAGTCAAGGGAATGAATGGTCTGTGACTCGCATAGGGCATTTGTAAAAGACATGCTATGATAACGAATTAGACTTTACATTTCTGTAGTTATTTGGACAAAGTTATAAAACAAAGGCAGATAAAGCAAAACCTATATGTGATTGTTTCGTACTCGACAAGCATTACGAACGTCCTGTACAAATGTCACAGATAAATTTTTAACAACTCATTTTTTCTCCAATGGTTACCTTTACTGACTGAATATTACAAATCAAAGTTTCTGCTAAAAGGTTCATCTGACAGGATTACTCAATAAAACAAATCGATTCGCTTATTGATCTACACTATTAAAACTCCAATATTGTAGCATATGGTGTTATCAATGAAAAAGTATGTGTTACTTCAATATATATTATCACAAGAGGGCAGTATTCAGACACAAGAGGGCGCTTTTATTCTTCTGAAGACTACAGCCATGCACGCAGTAGAATAAAACGTTTTTAAACCTTTCCACTATTTTGTTAAGCTAACTTGTAACCTCAAAGCGTTGAAGTGCTACCTAACACCCTTGAAAAACAGATCATGCTTTATTTCTCTGGGTGCTTGTAATGTTTTCCTTTACGAGCACACTCCAGTGATATCATTTAGATTTCGGTCGCTGCTACGAGTTGATTATGATCGCAACTTTTTATTTAGTCCTGTCCATGAAAATTGGTGCAAATGGCAGATCAATTCTTTTTATTATAAAAATGAAGCTTAGATTTCAAAAAAAAGGTATTTTAAATTGCTGAACTTTTCATTTCAAAATAAAATTAAAATTAATTAAAAATGCCACTACCGACAACATATTGATTTGAAACCATTGACAGTTAAAAAAGCTAAGAAATACAACTGTTTGATGTACGATCAGCAAGTCGATCAAGCGGAGACAGTCACGGCTCAAATATAAACCAGTATAAACATTGAATAGAAGTCTATATACACTAGTGTACAGTTCATTTTTCAAACAAGAGATACCGGTAAGTTTTTGAAAACATCTTTTGTCGTATCAGATACTATATATGTATATGGATACAAATATGATCCCCCCAAGGTCTGAAGTCAAGCTGCCAAGACAGAGAAATGCTTTGTAGCAAGAAAGTGATATTGATTACAGATGAGGAAAGAGGTCTACCTCAGGGAAATAGACATCATTGCTTATCAAGTAGATTTCATGCAAATTATAGCCATCGTAGTACAAATATCATAGCGAGATGGAACCCTTCAGATTTTCATTTCACTTTTTGAAACATGTATCGTAAATCTCATACATCGATTTGAAAATTTACCCGTTCAGTCACAGTGCCATTTTTTTTTTTTCATTTTGATCCATTACATGTGTCATGATAAAACCACTAGTGATCCCGAGGGAAGCTTAGATTATAAATTACCTACTGAGGATGTGGTGATGTAATGAATCCCATTTTTCAGGATTTTAGATATAAGTGGGAATCCAATTTTTGAAAAAAAAAAAATTAGATATAAAAATTGTCATAGTAAGTAAACATTTTCTATTTGGGTTTTCCTCAACACGCTTATTCAACGTACATTGTATTTTATATCATGTATCAGACACCAGTCTTTTATCTAAAACAGTTATTAATTATACACAATCTCACATAATAATTTATAAAACTTTCATATATAATGTGTATTTTGAAAATAACAAGAAATTAGGGTAAGTATATACTTAGCATTGTTATATATCGGTACATTGTATTTGTTATAAAAAGGGGTTATAACAATTCATACTTTAGTATAAATATGGTACAGATTTTGTTGCTACCAATAAATATAAATATTTATAAATATGCCCACACCTATGAGGGTTCAGTGGCAATGCCTACTCAGCTATAATTGATATATGAGAGGTCTACAACAACTGTTGGTTCTTTAGGGGGAGGGAGAGGAGGGTTATAAAGTTTTCTGAAAGGTAAAAAGTAGAGTCATACAGTGCAGAACATTTTTAATCGTTAAAATATTGCAGTTGTGTTTAAGATGACTGATTCCACTTACCTCTGCACGTTTTTGAAGTTCTTCTTGGCTAGAGACTTTGCTAACTTTGTTATGATCGAGTTTCCGTTTGACGAATCGTTCAACTCTGAAATTAAACTTCATAAAGGTGACATATAGAGCATACACAGACAACAGTGCCAGTGATTCAAACCATTCGATGTAAGAGTTGTCAAAAGCTATAATCAGAACAATAAGACTAAGACTGTAGAAAAAGACATCCCTGAAGAGAGGCCACCATGTTAGCTGTAGAACACCATGGCTGAACACAGCACACATACCGATGACAAATAGTATGTTGAAAACGGCTGAACCAACGATTGTTGATATACCAACGTTACTAGCGGTAACAAACAAGCCGAAGAAACTGGTGAAAAGTTCAGGAGCACTCCCTCCTGCTGCCATGAATGTTGCCCCGGCAACATCATCAGAAATTTTGAGTCTGTCGGTTATGACAGCAAGTGACGGCACAAAGAATTCGTCACAAACGATTGCCAATGCAATAAACATGTACAGAAGCCCAAAGGTGTGAAGAATGACGGCTCCCTTCCGTCGGTCTTCTAAACTAAACGCATCAGGGGGATACTCTTGTTTACGAACTGTTGCAACCTCTGTCGTTGCTTCCGTGGTAACAGAATTTGATGCAATAGTTGTTTCCTCAAGTAAATGTCTTGAATTGGCACTCCACGTGTTCCACACATCGTCTTGTAAATTATTCGAAGCCACAGCCTTCTCCATTTCAATATTGCTAAGGTCTTGAGATGTAGAGTACAGGATCATAATCCAACCGACTCCCAATATAGTAATAAGTGAAAGTATACGAGTTCCAGTTAACCTCTTCCGAGGTCTCAGATACCTTGTGCGTCGCATACTCACTGCATTTGCCACATACAACTAAGCAAAACAGAAACTTGTTATCAGTGATTTGCCCCGAAGATACAAGATCCTTCCAATGACGTCGGCATCAGATTTGTGATCGTCATAATGTAATAATATATCATCTTTGATAAAATATCGATAATTAATCATTCATATGGATTTTGTTCATGTCGCATCTATAATTTAGTTGACTGACTTCTTAATTCAAACATGCTCAGGGAAGTTCACACCTAAAAATGAAAAAAAAATATGTCAGTTGGGCCTGGCTTACATTTCAACTTAAATAAAATATAAAACACAGCCCCCCCCCCCCCCCCATCCACTCACGCATCATCTAGTCATGAATATGCATCATTTGATCATGTGGTTATTGTACCGCTTGAAAAACTCTTCACGTATTTTTAGTTATAACAGTTTATTGGGTGCCATATTAATAGTGCTACAACATTTACAAGTACAGAGAGCAACAATAAAAAAGAAAAACATTGTTGTCATGACAACCTATTAAAATCATTATTATATAATATATAATAATAGTATTCCCTAATGTAAAAAAAAAAATTAGAAAACCACATAATTAAGAAGTTCTTGAATTCATACATAGCTCACTTAAAGTTATTTAGCATACTATTATTCACTTACATTTAAAATACTTTCACTTGCTAACATTTATTCAAAGGAAACATAAATCCTTTTCTTAGAATGCAATAAAATATTATTATTACATGATGCAGAATGGAAATTATTGAAACTGAACATTATGTTCACTGTTGAATTTTGAGATGAGGGGTTTTCTTTTGAGTATTAACTTCACATCAGCGTAGCATCCTTTGGTAAATGTCTAGCTGAGTTTAATACCGTAGACACTGTGATTATTGCATCTATCGGTTGATTGAAATTAATGCCAGATACTTTGGTTGAAAATACTTCCATTCATCCATCTCCGAGGCAAGTGAGTAAACAACAAAATGGTAAAATAAACACATTTGATGATTTGTTTTCTTGGATGATAATACAAAATATTTGTATATTCACAGATGAGAAAAGACTATTAGTATTGTTAATTAAATATTGATGGTTTGCCAAATATTATTATTATTATATATTATTGAAATTATTTAAAATTAAATTAAAATCTGCCAAAATCTCAATTACAATGGCATGCAATCATAATAGACAGTTATGACATGGCAGTTATAAATGTTCTATTACTGCAGCGAGTAGCAAGCCTTGAGTGTTGTCATGTTTTATACTATCAGTCGACACATTCAATACCACGCTATTGAGGAATTATTCCTATAGTGTAAAGCGGATGTCGTGATTTTCTCCTATTGTTATTCGTATTAAAACAACGCCAATATAGAAAAAGAAATGTTGTATGTAGTAGCCAAGCTATCACAAGAATCCTTCTCACCACCAAGAGACTTTATAGAAGGTTTGGATGTCAACGATCGAATTCCGAATAATAAATGTACACACGTAATAATTACAATGCTGTGGCGCGTCGGCACGGACCGCCGTTGCGCCGGCAACAACGGCCGTGTTGCCATCTTATCTTTTCCACTCCCGACAACGACGGCTACGGCAGCGAAATTGTCACGAAAATAATACGACAGGTAAAAATGAGAAGTGTTTTACCTTCACACCAGCTTGTTCGTCCATTTGCGCGCTGTGTAATACGCCAAATATGTTCGACGCTTTCTCTGTGCTTGCCTTTCTCATAATGATGGATGCGAAAGTGAAGTCAAGGTAAATAGAAAAAGACATCGATACGTGATGCTGATGATACGAAAAGCGGGAGGAATCTACATACAGGACGCCACCAACGTTACCGTTGTCGTGTGCCGATTTTCGCTTTGTGTAAACACTATTTTGGGTTATTTTTGTCCAGTTGTGATAATTCGCAAAATGTGCTTGTATTTTTCTGTTTTATATTATATGTAGCCATATAAAAAAAGTAAAAGAAAGTATAAGAGTGATTGCGTTTGCTGGACGTTTGTTTTAGCCTGCAAGACTGGCTGATTAATAAAGTTAATGTTTTAAAATTAAAATTAAATTTTGTGTTTGTAACTAGGCAAAAGGTGAAATTGTTTTTGATGTTGGCCGAAGAACAAAACTAATTGCAGGGACTTGGTGTGACCGCAAATAGGAGATGCGTAGAGAATAAACTTTTAGTAGTTCATAAACATATAATTTATAAAATGGAAATGTCCGGTCGGTCTTATTTTGAACAGAACTGCACAAATTTAGCATGCCAACAATTCACATATGAAAAATAAATTACTAGCAAACTAAAACATTCTAAACATATATAGCAGAATAGAAAAAATAGCTTGAAAACGCCTCATATACGTTGGGATTTCGAGCGCACAGTAAATACAGTCTTTATGTGAATTCGTCTCTTTTTTTTTGTAATTCCCATCACACATGTTAATACTTAATCTGTTTATCCAGTGGTGCCTTTGTAATAATCTATGTACGTGGGTTCACCGAAGCCTGAAACTACTATTAACTCGTTTTCACACTCGGACAACTAGTGACCCGAGTTTCACGGCAGGAGATCGCACGCGGAGGGAACACGCGCGCGTATCGGCATCAGGGTTATCCACAGTCAGCTGTCACACACGTGATAATAAAATAAATACGATATAAACTAAATATTTAGTTTTATGCGTCATTCAAGATGGCGGCCCCCATATAGTAAATATCGTATTTATTTTATTAACACGTGTGCGCCAGCTGACTGTGGGGTTATCGCTGTTACGTTCTGAATTACTCAGTGTGTGACAGCTGATTGTAAATGTCTTGTCTTAAAATGAAAATTTCTGTTTGTATACTTTACACAAAGCTTGTATAAACATATCTGGATGATTCGAAACATATTCAAAGCGAGTGGCCGTGAATCGACAAAAGAATCCATCGTCTTCTATTATTGAAACTGTCAATTATTCCTTCTGTAGAATTGTATTAGGCATCAGTAAAAATTCATGCGCAATTAAAGCGCGGTGGTCGTCGCGCAGCGCGTGTTCAAATTTCATGCAAATAAACAATGTATTTTACACGCGTTGTATACGTTGCTATGAGTCCCCATATCGAACAGGACGCGGCGTGACGACTGTCGCCCTTTAGACAAAACATTCCCAACACACCACAAATTATAGTAATGGCAATAAAGGAGATGAAAGTACTCAAAATTGGTTGGATTAATATAGTAAAAAAAAATCATTGCAGATAATAATTTAAACAGTTACATCAGACAACAAGAAAAGTCTGATAAAAATCTTTTGAATAAAAAACAGTGGAAATGTGAACTACTAGTATCAGAGATACATTACTTGGGGTTTGCAACTACGGTGACATGATACCAAGATCCCGTCACAATCTCGCTCTCGCATAAGCGTTCCAACTCAGAAAAATGCGAATGCGCATGCCCGAGGTAACTAGGATACTGGGATGTCCAGGTGGATCAAAATATCTGCCCACGATATGACGGATTACGAGAATTATATTTTCTGTACATTTTCGATGTATTACATTTTTCACTATGATAGTGACAAGAAAAGTTTTATTTTTTTTATTACAAACCTTGAACATTGATATGTGTCATGTCAGAAGGTCGTAACCTCAGTCTCGCTATCTACGAGAAGAGACTTGAATGGGATCTTGACATGATGTCACCATACAGTACTATGCGAGTTGCAAACCCCAAGTAATGTACCTCTGCTAGTATCTATAATGACGTAAGAATAAATGGTGAGACACATAAATTAGCCACATACAGAAAATTTAAAATTGAATTTAAAATGGAAAATTATTCAACAGAGAGTAGCAATATTAAACTGAGATAACTTTTATGTAAATTCAGGATTTCAGATCATAAGTTGCTAATAGAGACTGGCAGATAAAGACATACCAAGAGCAGAACGTAAATGCAACACTTGTAATGTAATTGAGAGTGAATATCATTTCATAATTGATTGTAGAAATTAAATTGAAATTGAGTAAAAACAAAATTAAAGATTTCGACACATTGCCCTCTGAAGTTCAATTTATTGAAATCATGAAGAAGTGCTCTGTCGATGTTGCACAATTTATCCAGTCAGGTATGAACATCAGAGATGAATTATACATGTAACAGCTCCACCAAACTAAGTAGTATTAGTGCTTTATAGTAACTTTTATTAGAAGCTTAGTCATAATGTTTGACAAAATTGGTCATAAATCGCATGACAATGTTCATTAGTTTATTATGTACAATCATGAAGCTAATGTCCCATGGTACAATGAAATAGCATTATTTTGTGTGTTACAGTTATGCTTTTTAAGAAACGTTTCCCAATATTTCTTAAAAATTGCTATTTTCAGAACAATTCCATAGAACATAATGTTAAAGAAAAATTGCATTTTTTGACACTTTTTAAAACCAAGATTTTTTTTAATAATTCAGAACAACAATAGGTACTCTATCATTAACAATATATGATTTTTTCAGCCTATGTCACCAGGCTTGATTTTGAGATACTGCATAATATCTCTGTCATAGGAACCTGTGGTAAAAGTGTTATAATAGTCCAATAATATAATATAATCCACTAAAATACAACCATCAATTTCTCGAAAAAAAAAGGCTGGTGACCCCCAATTTTTTTTAGGTCAATATCCCTAAATTGCCCTGGAGTACAAGTATTATTATTATTATTATTATTATTATTATTATTATTATTATTATTATTA